TTTCACTAAAACCTTTATGAGAAAAGTTATGATATGGCATTATTCAAATTTCTTGTCAATTGTAAAAATTAGAGCACGAACTATTTGGAAAAATTATGTTTTAATTTACTGGACCTTTCCAAATATATATAGGAATAAGATATGTAGATAAATCTTTGTTTTCCCTTTTATTAATAAAGAGTATAAAAAATTTTACCTTGAGTAAATCATCTTTACATAAATTTATTTTTTACGTTAAATTTTTAAAGAAACTTTTGACAGCGATTTAAATTCTAAAATTTGGATTGTTACAGTATGGTCTCAAAGCTTAGATTTCATTTTCTTGTAGCCTTATAAAAATGAAAAAAGAGGATTCCTTGTCGCTGTTCACGACAAACAATGATGTGAATTGCAGAAATTTACTATAATTTTAGATTATTTAGCATCATCCATATGGGGTTCATGTGCATTACATAATACTTTTTATCAGATCCGGTCGTGTGCAGAAGCCAACGAGGCCATTGCCTCAGGCCCAAAACTGAAGGGGCCTCATTTGGCCCAGATGTTATTTTATTTTTATTATTTTTTTGTGTGTGAAATAATGTGAAAGGAAAATCAGTGTTTTTTTTTTCTCTTTTGAATTGAGCTCTCTTTTTCCTTCTTTTTCGTGCCCGCCTTCTCCTCTTCTTTGTTCTTAACCACAATTCGCAAGCAATGGCTAACAAGGTCATATTTTTTTAGGGGGGGCCTAATTTAGGAATTTCGCCTCAAGCCTTGACAATCACAGGGCCGGCCCTGCTTTTTATCAACATTAAAAGTGCATTATATTATATATTTAGGGCGGGACGAATTATGATAAAGAAAAATGTGACCATTTTGAAAAATTAGCCAAGCTCATGCTGCTTGCTCCATTCTAAACAGTGGGAAATTACCATTAATTTATTATCATTTTTTTTAAATGAAAAAAATGAGAATGTGACATTAGTATAGAAGTTTCATATTTTTAGACGTTACTTGTAATAAATGTCCATTATTAAAATTTTTGTGTAAATTTACATTTTCTACTTGTCTCCTTGTAGATTTTATGACATGCACATTTCCCTCACTAAATTTATGATTTATATCACAAGTAAAGCATGATTCCTTTACTTGCATATGCGAGCATGAAATACATTATGTTATCATGATAAGAATGTAAGCATGATATGTAAGACTTAATGCTTGGGTGAACAAATGACTTGTCCCAATAGGGACCATAATAGAATTGTACTATTATGCACAGAAGATTGACATGGATGATATTATTTTTCCATAAGAATGAGGAGTTTAAGACCAAGTATCCAGAACTTCTCAATTAGCCAAAATAAAATTTCGAGTATGACATTATTTTAAGAAGTAAGGATTGTAATGCCCCAAAAATTTTATAGAATAAATTTATTTGTTCTATATTTTTATAATTTTGGAAAGTTGAGGACCAAAGTGAAATGGGAATAAATTCAATTTTATTTGGGCAAAAATTTAGATATTGAAAGAGCGATGATAAGCATACCAATATTGGGGGTCGTCAAACAGCTCGTGTTTAATTATGTATATTAAGCTCGAGAAAAAGCTAATTTGAATAACAAAAGCCTAAGTTATTGAAGTTTAAAGAATTTATCATTAAATATTATTTTATTACTTTTGTTTTTGACATCTGAAAGTATTGGCAACAACGTGTCTACTGAGATTGAGTTAAAGCAGTTTGTTTTATTTGGTTTGGATAGATGTTTTGGGTGATTAGACTTCCACCTTCTATAGGAGATTATCCTATATATAACCCCATGAATGCAGCATATTTTCTCCGTAGAAAAAGTCAAAAGAACCATGACTGAGAGAGAAGTTAGATTTTTGTACCATGTGATATAATTTTTCAAACACGGCAGTAGACTAAAAATAAAGTTGGAACATAAATTTGGTTCTCTCCAAAAATTTAAATTGATCTAATGATGTATGGTAACAAGGTGCAGGTGATTTTGTCCTGTTTAATTTCATTATTTCATGTTGATTAATGTTATGCTAATGAAAGATATAATACGATATGATATAGTCATCCGGTACCAAAGATATAATATATTATGAGCTCTTACCACCTTCCAAAGATATGATATGACGGTATGATTATTTTAATGCATGAATCAATATTTTTATTCGGGATTACACAATTACTCGTGTCCTATTGAGTATTCTATATACTCACCCTTTTTTCCCAATACTCACAGGTTAGAACGGTTCGTTGGTTGCCGGATGATAAGGTACTGTCATTGTGCTTGATTTCATTAAAGTTAATAAAGTGAATTGGTGCAACATGACTGAAATTTAATTTCCAGCCTTAACATTAGTGTTAGTCATATGGATATTTTTAGGATTTGAAACTTGATTTATTTTGTTATAAATTTTAGTTTGTGTTTAATTACATTGGTGGAATCAATATTTAGTTATCGTCTATCATATAAAATATTATGGGTGATGTAAGGATTTATTTAGCGGATTTTTTTATTTATTTATTTATTTTTACTGGAACCTTTATGAGAAAAGTTATGATATGACATTATTTGAATTCCTTGTCAATTGTGAAAATTAGGGAACGTACTGTTTGGTAAAATTAGGTTTTAATTTAGATATTAATTTAGTGGATCTTTCCAAATATATATAGGAATAAGATATTATGTAGATAAATCTTTGCTTTTTCCTTTTTATTAATAATGAGTATAAAAAATTTTACCTTGGGGAAATCATATTTACATAAATTCAACTGTCACATTAAATTTTTAAAGAAACTTTTGATAGAAATTTAAATTCTAAAATTTGGGTTGTTACAAATCATGATTACTTATCTTGATGCAATGAAGAGTAAATTTGACTAGGAAGGCCCAAAAGTACTAATCTAAAGGAAAACATGTAGAAAGCTAGCAAATCCTAAGAAACACTTCCAGAGAATTTAAGAAGCACAAACCACTATAAACTACAATTAACAATAAGAAGTTTCGAGTCCTAGCCACTAGAAACAGTTGAAGTGGTAAAGATCACTTACCAGTATTTTAAACATGGCAGCTACACGCAAAGGCAGTAGCCGTGGAGTAGTTTGCAATTGTGGAAAGACAGGCGAAGGATATTCATCATTGTCAGTAGGAGATGTTGCTATTAACTCTGCAGAATATGATTGCCCCTTAGATGCTGAAAATGCCGAATCCTGGTGGGATATTACAAAGAAAGTATAAGCAACATGAGGATGGATCTATATCCAAAAAGTTAAATATAAACTACATATCGAGTGGGAGATTAATACACCTTTTTTGTATTAGCAAATGCACGTTGGACAGCCATCGCATCACTTTGGCGGTCTGTCTCCAAATTTCTCTTTTTACTGTTTTCAGATTCTGTAATAGCTGGAGAATCCGCTCTACAGATTTTACTTAGTAAATAAGCATTTGCATACGCTAGATTAAAGATCAGGAATAAGTCCCAACTTCAAAGTTCTCTACCTCTTATAATGAACACTCCAGCCTCCTTCACCATCCAGGGATAGGACCACATCATGAAATGCAACTAAAGCAGGACGGTGAGAGATTGTGATACATGATGTTCCCATTGCTAGAACTTTAGCACAAAAACGTTCCTCCATATCAGTCGTCACAGCGCTTGTGCATTCATCCAGGATAGCAAATTTGGGTTTATGGTAGAAGAGACGAGCCATTCCCAGTCTTTGTTGCTCGCCTAACGATAATTCATCACCCCAATTCACCTCCTTTTCAGGAGGGTAACGTTCCAGGAGATATTCAAGATCGACCTGATAACAAGAAGTTACTGAACTTCACCAACACAGTAACATAACACCTAAAGCTAGAGAAACAAATGTAAAAAGGAAAGAATTTCTTACATTCTTCAACAGGTCAACCATTTCTCTTTTTGTAAGAGGTTCGACCTCTTGATCTGCAGTAAGAGGATATATCAACTGGTCACGCAGAGTCCCCACTGCTGTATAAGGCCGTTGTGGCACATAAAAGATTTCCTTATTTAGATCAGAACCAATTCCAGGTTTCACAATATGGCCAGATACCAGCGGCCAAAGACCTCCCAAAACTCGAAAAAGAGAGCTTTTCCCACTTCCATTTGGACCTTAAATGGGTTAAGTGTTACAGTCAGACAGTTATACGCGAGCACAGTTCCAGAATACTGATATGCAGCAAGTTGCCTATACTGATACTAATGACAGCTTCATACACAACATTAGACATTAGAAAGGTATGTTATGTATTTATTCACAATCATAGACATATTGCTCTTTCCTTCTAAATAAACACAATCCAACTCGGTAACTCATAAGAAAAGGTAACCAATTAATTGAATAATCATGCAAAGATATAACTAACCTTAACCTAAAAAGAGTACCTGTAATCAAAAGATTAGAACCTACTTCAACCCGCAGAGTCAGATCCTCAACCAATACATTGTTAGTTGGAGTAACAACCTGAAAGTCCAATATGCTATAAGGATAATGGAAAGGAAGAGAATAACAAAGCAAGTAGAAAGTCTTTAACATTTTCTAACTACCTTGACACCATCAAACTCGATGTAATTTGCTTCACTAACATAATTCCTGCTCCCATCAGTCTTCACAGAAGATGCATCGCGTACACCAAGCTCTCTCGATATTCCCATGAGTTCATGAATACGATCAGCATAGCCACTGCAAATTGGAAGAAAGTTTAGCTAAAATGATAGCTACAGAGTACGCACTCTAACTAGCAATGCCAAGCAAGCCATATAAGCAATGGTGCACATAAATATACCAGAGCTGGTTATCAAAATGCTGAAGCAAATTGTATCATTATCTTCTCACCATACAAGATATAATGAGAACAATACCTACTAATAAAAATTACAGAACTATCCAACCACAGTTGTTCAGAAGGCGGCCATAACGATTCTTTCCCACAACAAATGTGAGGGAAGATTGGTTCTGGCATCTCTCTCCAAACATAGCAATGACATTAATATCATTGCAAAAGTCAGTCTATCACCCATCCCAGCAAAAAGTGAATATATAAATACTCATCTGCGATTCTGCATAGAAAATTTGAAGCTTATCACCTTAATCCCTAACATATATGTTCCATGAGAAAGTTTTCCCTGGGGACAAATTACCTAAACAGGAAATAGAACCTCAAAATGATTGCCCTCTGATTGAGAGAGTAGTAGTAGTCAGATTTCTTGTTAATGTAATTAATTTACTTCAGGTGCAATTTTATGCATGCAAGTTATTGAATGGAAGACAATAAGCTCAATTAATAAATCCTATGGATTTTCAACTTAATGAGTGCAACAGTCTAATAGTCCCCCAAGCAACTGAACAAGTAATACCTCAGGCGATTGAGCCGTCTTGAACTTATAGAAAGAGTTCCCAAGGACTGGAACAATGATATTATAACACTCGTATGATATCTTAAATTACTCAACATCTCAGCACGTCCTAGAGTTGAAGAATCAGGCCTTAAGTTGCCAGAGAAAAAGGGCTCTATTATCAGGATAACAGCAACAGTAGCACCAAGATATTTCAGCAAAAAGTCTTGAATCATGCCAAACCACCAATGGTCATGAAGAACAACCCTCATATGCTGCACAAGACTCTTAAACTTCCGCTGAATGTGAAAATCTTCTCTATTTTCACCTCCATAAAATGCTATACTTTCTGCATGGGTCCTTAATCGTGAATGCAACTGTCTGTACTCCCCTTCCAGCTGTTGTTCTTTGGACATGAGTTTCCCAAATGCAGGAGAGAAGTTTTTGATTGTGGTCCCTGCTCCCAACACGTAGGCCTGGAAAGTATTGATATACATATGCAAATTTCTTAGTAAAATAATAACTACCATATCGAAAAGTCTGAAAGAAATGAAGTTATAGATATACTCAAAAAGCATATGAAAAAATTTAATGCTAAGCTGTTATTTGAAAAATGGTTCAATTTGCGAGAATGGATTACCAATATCCAGAAAACATATTTTGGGCTTGCATATGAACACAGACGCCAAGTATAAAGCAACCCATCAGTAACAGCAATCAGATCTTCTTGTACTAGGTCACTCAATTCTGAACAGAACCTCGGTACATCACTTGCAATGCGTTGTTCAGGATTAGTTATCCGACCATCAACATGGGACATCTTGTAATATACCATATTCTGGAATCCAATTAATAAAATTGATCAAAACACCAATAAAGTTGAAAGAGAGTTTTCATTACCATTCACGAACAGTAGTGAACCCAGATTGCAGACAATCAAAAGATGGTTAATCAGTCAGATATGGGGAAGGGAAAAGAAAACTGCATGTTTGCATTATACTGTAACTCTGTATGATAAAACAAACAAGTAGAACTAATTGTTTTTTACATAGTCGTCGTGTAATTACATAAAATTGTGATCTCATCAGCTATAAGAATAAAGTAAACACAAAAGCATGGGGCACAGATCTAAGTGAACCATATAATGCCACAGCAGATTGCACAATTAACTTGATAACGAAGAATGGATAGGATCTTAAGAAATAGTATCGTTGATGTATTTTGTGTAACTGAAGCACCAGCAAGTGAAGCATTGCTGGATTATGTTTTCAAAAAACAAATTGAGCTACTTGATATTCATTGCTAGGTTTAAAGTCTTAAAAGCTTGTTCATGGGCATAGATGGAATCTTCCAAATTTATACCTTATTAATGATAATTATGTAAGAGAACTTAATTTCCAAATGGAATGCATTTAATCTAATAAGTTTTCCATCCTATAATTGATTCCAACCAACTTTTGCATGGATGAGTCCAAAATAGATGGGTAGAATAACAGATCACAAAGTCCTTGTAGGTATGCAAAGTCAAATGCAATGCATTTGCCACGATAATACCAGAAGAACCATCGAGTACATTTTAGCATTTACTTCCAATATTAACAAACCAACAAAATAAATTTGTGTACGAACACTGGAAAAATAAATTGTGGCTTTTGGTGCAGGACATATGTTCCTTCATAATTTCCCTCATTTTATCAGTGGCTATTGCCAGTCACCGTGTGCTTCAAAACCTATTATAACATATCAATTTCTTTTACACAAGAAATCACTATCCATTACAGACCCTATTTCCCCCTTCGCTTGATATAATCCGCCGCCTGTCTGCTGGCCGGGCGAATCAAAGTCAACTGCTGCAGTTTATCCTTGCAGCATTTATTTCAAAAATAAATACTCCACAACATCAGGTAAAACAAATAAAGCAAAATATACACGTGAATAATGTAAGCAAAAGTGAATTCCATCTTATATTATTGAAACACTTCGGATGTCACACTATTCCTGGGTCACGACTCGCAAGCAACATACACTTTACATGAATCCTTTTACCTGTCCAGCCATTTCGCGCCGGGGGGTTTGAATATTTGACATTTTGATGTCAATGACAAAAACACTCCTCTTGACACCTTAAAAAAGATCAAAGTTATTTGGGATTGTTTACATGAATCCTGTTTTTGACATCTAAATTACAAAGGTTCCACTTGTTTGCAATTACCTCGTTCCATGGGATTTAAGAGAACCTCTTCTTCCAAATTTTACAATCTAAATGGTCTATCACCTTTTCTATTGGTGCATCTAGCCGATTTCATTGAGCGTGCCCAAACCATTTCAATTGGTTATAACTATCTTCAAAGGGCTCGGCTTAACCAACTCACAACATTCTTATTTGTTTCTTCTATAATACTGCAAGTCCACCATAACATTTTCATCCCAGCCACACACAAAATATGTCTGTTTTCTAGTAGCTTCAGTAACCAAAACCTCGCCGCACTCTCCTTGAGTAGCTCCCATTGAGGCCATAGTCCTGATGTACATAACCATTATTCTATCAATGTACACCATTTTGACACTCATCTTTTCCTGTTCTCAAATTCAAGATTCAAGGTTATCCCTTCCACAACCTCTCTACCTTGACCGAAGGGAGTAAAAGCCTCAGAAATCAGGTGAGACTTAGACTTGTAGAAGACATTTTTGTAATAAATAAGGGCAGAACCAGTAAGAAAGGAGATATGTACTTCCATGATTACAGGCTCCAATACTCTTCTTGACAAATAACTAGCTTAGATAGCTGATATCCAAGTCAAAACCTAAAATGATTCTCTAAAACTGTTGTTTGATTCCCTCAGAAAGCTCCACTGTGAGACTGTTAACTTAATACCACGATCCTGCTATTTAAATTACAACTACAATTTCCAAATAAGTCTCTAGATAAGGGTTCTCTCATAATTTCAACTTATCCATTAACTTAATATTCTTTCATGTGCAACATCTTTAATAATCTAAACTTCAGCTTACTTTGTAGTGGCATGCTCCCAAACCAAATGCGAAGTTAAAGACAACTTTTGACCCCTCCACAAGACCTAAAATTAACAATCCATTGGTGTAACACTTAGAATTACACTTGTACGCAGCATATATTTACAAGTATCACATGGAAGAAAATTTCACTCGCGATATCAGGGACACTGGACACAATTTTTCCAGATTTGCTATTGAGATTTGCAAGCCCGTGAACTTAAGAAATCAATTTTAATATAATAGTGTCAGCAAACAATTAGACGAAGAAATTACAGAGTGATCTTGCTAACAAAAAGAACATTAAAAATTACCTGAAAATATTGCGTATGGATAAGCTTTGTCAATATTTTCCTGAACCGTAAACTTAAGGTCCCTGTTACATATTTTGAGGTAGAATGCAAAGTTGACTGGAGGAAACAAAGTAAAATATTTTCAAGAATAAGACGGAAAAATGCCGGTACACGTCGGAGAAAAGCAGCACGAAAAAGGAACCCTTGGACTTTAGCCAATCTGTTGCTAACAGCAGTCCGTGAAACCTGCAAAAACACAAAAATGATTCTAACATAACTCACTGCTAGGCATACTTGACTTCTTTAGTGAAGAACCTTACCGCTATAGCCACCAAAGTCAAAATATCTATCGCCCCAATTCGACCCATACGAGATAAAAGAATAGCAGCCAAAACTTGGAGAGACCTCAAACTTCCCCTCTTTTTCCTACTCTTTGTTACAGTATTATCCTTTCCAATCAAATTGTTTGGTTCTTCTTTATTGTCCTCAGTTCCATTGCAGTGAAGCAAAGAATTCTGAATTCTACACCTATTTCGTGATTGCATGTATGCAGCAGCAGTTCCACCGGCAACAATGATGCCAGTTGCAAGTAGTAGTGTTTTCCTGTCAGAAAAATTATAAAAAACTTTTGATACCACCACTTCATATGGGGGAAGGTATTGGAAATTGCAAACTAAAATCGACATCATAACATATTGCCAGAAGAGTTTTGAGCTGCAGTCATTATGGAGTTCCATCCTCGATCTTCAAGGAGAATAAGAAGATGACCGCAGGAGACTTACTTTTGAGGGTAGTACAATAACCTCATAGACAAATCCACCAAGTCCCATTGACAGATGTAATTAGATGAGGAGGTTTTTAATTTTTTAAATGAATAGCTATTTCTGAAAATGTAAAAAAGGGGTCAAAAAAAGTTTGGCACCCATTCCATAGTGATCTCTTGCTTGTTTCTTTTTATCATTGGTGTGCTTTTGCTCTTTTCTAAAATAAATATCCATTATATTATAATTTTGTTTCAAGTTGGGGTTGAATGGACATCTAATGAAAGGTCACCATTGTGCTTTCATTTCTACCTTCCATGTAAAAAAAAAGTGCTAATCAAGGTTAGGAGTAGACGAACGAAAACCATCAGCTCTTGTAATTTATTATTAAGAATACTTCTATCCAATGGAAGCATTCGCAGAGAATATAACAAACATTAAAAAAATGTTCTTAATAAGCCTCCTATTAAACTAGGAAACAAGTTTGCAGAACTGGTAGCAGCAGATATACCATTAGAGTTCAGTTTCACCTGTAGACATAGAATACACATTAATAAATGGAGAAGTGTATTAATCAGCTTCTCCTATGATCACGTGTCCAATATTGGTTTCAGTTTCACAAATGGAGAAGTGTGTTAATCAGCTTCTCCAATGCTCGTGTCCAAGATTGATTTCAGTTTCAGTTACAACGATCATCGTTTAACCATCCGGAGTATATAAACCCTTAGTATGCTGATCAGAACTCTCTTACTTTATTTCTTTCAAATCATTCACTCATATTCAGTAATAATAGTAGCAACTAATCAACTGCAAAAGGGGAAAGAGATTCACATAAATAATATCACAGAGTTAATATTTTTTACCTCCTCGAGGCCAAGAGGCCCCGTCCACGTTCAGTTAACTGTAGAAGCTGAAGAGAAGGCATTTTTTAAGGTAGACCTCCTCTGGATAATAGTTTCAGTGGCTAAGAATACCGTCTTCTTGAGATCTAGAGAAAAATTGGTTTCAACTTATTATGCACGGAAAATTTATGGAAGTGCTAAGTTTGAGAACTAAATGGATGCAGATGTCACACATCAAAACATGAAAATACTAAACAAAAAACAGAAATTCGAGATAAATGATATTTTAACAGAGTAATTATTCATGTGCAACAATAGAAGAGAGTAGCAAGAGCACAGTGAGCTCAAACAACCAAATCTATAGAATCATACCATGTGTTGCAATAGATTCAGGATTAGGGAGCACTATGCTCTCTTTAAAGTTCGAATCTACTCTATGTTTGAAAAGCTCTATTTTATCTAAGTGGTCGTATTCTTTGTCCCATGCTAAGAAGCACTACTCCTAGATCCATTCATTCTTCCTAACAAAAAAAAAAAAAAAGTATGGCGTTGGCAACAAATTTTCCACCAATAGTCAAAACGATTTTACATAAAGCACAAAACATTAGCTCTTTGTGTAGACAAATGTCAAAAACTGCAAGTGAACATAACATAATACTAATATATATAAAAAATCAATTCTCTGGACAAAGCACATATTTATTTCATATTTTCCACCACAAACTTCTCCCTGCTTCACCTGTGTGATCCTTTTCATTCAATCTAACCGGTGTCTTCCACATGGCCTACACCAGTGTGGGATAATAGTCCTCTTTGAGCCAACCTTCTGGCTTATTCAGATGCAGACAGCTTCATATAAAATGTTCAGGTTACATAGTAGGGCTGGAAAAACTCCCGAACCGAACCCAAACCCGACCCGACCCGAATCGAGCGGCTCTTCTTCAGTCAAATACCCGAACGGGTATTTAAATCGAGAATCGACAAGTTTGGTTCAATTCTCGATTCTTCTCGGTTCTAGATCAAGAATCGAAGAGAACCGAATCTTCCTAATTTTTTTAATTAATTTATTTTAAATAAGTCAAATTATTTTATTTTTTCTAAATAAATTTACTAACTAATTAATTTAGTCCAAACCCAAAAATATGATTTCCTATTTCTAATTTTCAGTTCAAAGCCAACTTTATATTGACCTAAATTTTATCCAAAACTGTTACTCTATCGTACTGTTGTTTTTACCGTTCTAGAAAAATAGAATTAAAGCTCAACAACGCCTCTCATTAATTATTTTGAGTTGCTATCTTCCTCTTTCTGTGATTTTAACAATCAAATCTACGAAAAACTCAACAAAGAGAGACGCAAAAAAAATTGGACTACGTTATTTTGTAAAAGCTAAAATTGAACATATCATTAGTCGAATTAATGTAACTTTGTAAATATTAAAAACTTTAATTATAATAAGGAACCTGAGAACCGAATGGAACTGAATCGAACAGTTCCATAATTAAATTTGGACTCGACGATTCCATTTACTAAATACCCGTAAATTTTGGATCAATTCGGTTTAGTTCCATGTCCAGCCCTATTACATAGTAGTTTGTCACTCCAATATTATGGGCATCAGCTATACATTTGTGTCATGCAAGTGAACTAGGAATCACTGATTATTTCAAAGGCTTATAATCAACAAATTCAATACCCATATATTCCATGCAGATTTGTAGAAAATACAAGACAATTAACAAAGACAAAAAGAAAATGACAGATTTCTTTCCTTTGCAAAGCTCAAAAATTGTCTGTCCTTGGAAGGCAGGTGAAGGCAAGTCTTTTCTATTACTTCAATG